TATATATATATATATATATATATATATATATATATATATATATACTTTGGCAATTGAGGAAGTGATACTGAGCAAGATCAGACATCACTAACAGTCCCAACAACTCATGTCTTGTCAATTTCATCGAAACATCTATCCTATCAGAAGATGGAAAACTACGATATCCTTTTATTTCATATCTGAAGAAAACCATAGTTGCTTGCTATTCTCCATATGGTTTTAACTTTTAACCCTCATGAGGACTGAAGCTGCCTTGATATTAGTATTACCAACTGCCAATTCTTAACGAGGAAAAAGAAGGCTCTGATACAAAACTTACGAAAGAACAATGCCATGTAAATTCTTGGACGATAAAAGCAATATCTGAAAGTAGAAAGAACCCAGGTCGATCATGTATTAGACTGTTCAAAGAGATCATATTCAACGTATGGATTACCGAACTTAAGAGGTTTACATTTAGTGCAGGAATGCCCTGCCTTTCAAGTTAATTCTTGTCCTACATTCCACAAATTTTATGCACTCAACATGCTCTTCAGAAATAATACAACAAAATTGTTATTTCTCATCTCCACCTCAGCCCAATATATATCTTGACATATCGGCAAGAAATATCTATTAGGAAAAAGAGTAACTGGGCAAACAAAGGTTTGTTCCGAATGGTTGTCCGCAGTTGAAATCAGAATATATTTTCCAGGCTATAGGAAATCAGGTTGACCGGTGGAAGTCAGACATCGATGCCACATCCGACTGTTGGGGTCCACAGTCCTTGGAGATGCTATGACTTCAGGTATTGGTAGGTACACATAGTGAGTATTACATATTCCAACTGTGATGCCACTGTATCCAGCGAATGCACCATGAACCTATAACAATGCCGGTATTATTGTGGATGATGTATTCTATAGGTTTGCAGATATCACCACATAAAAACACAGCCAGAGACAAAATAGTATATACATACTCGTGCAGAGGCCTACTGAACCAAGACAAAATAGTATATACATACTCATTCAGGTTCTCAACATATTTAAACAGGATATTAACCCAAGATCAGCTGAAAAATGGAAATTTGGAGGTATACAGAAAATTTCTGTGCAAGGATGCCAACATGCATGTTGAATTGCTAATTTCATATGTCAATGGTTACGTATGCTGTCCCTAGACCATTTTCAGTCATATAATCAAAAAGGGGAGATATGGAAAATATGGAAGCTAACAATATCATTTTGTCAATATCATGAAACAGGAAGAAGGTAAACCATGAGTACAAGGCAAAAGTTGCTCTAAGTTGTAGATGCAATGTGCCAAATATTAGTACCCAAATTCAGGACCAACATACCACCAATTCATGGGCATTGAAATCTGATGATATTATTATATTAAACTCATATAAATAATAGTATGGAATATATCAAACTATATCATTGCTGTGTAAGCAGTGCCAAAAACTTGGAAATGCAAGAAGACAAAACATGCCATGAAAGCAAGTACAATGAACGGGATATATCTTACTGCATTCTGGCCAAGGACAGTACAGAGTATAGCATCAGAAGCATTTGCTCGACATGCTCGGATCATATAAGTAGGATCGATGTATTTAACATCAGATGGAACTCCTATCTCCTTGAAATGTCTTTTGATCTGTAAAAAATTCGCAAAGTTGTTAGTATCAGCAAAGAAGATGGGTCACAGCAAACATAATTTTATCTAATTTTCCTGGATGTAACACAAAAAATAGTCCTGTCTTTTCTTTTTCTTTTTTTTTTGTTTGCTCTTTTCGTTAATCTTCAGGGAAAAGGAAGGTATTTTTCATGCTTTGTCAGCCTTTCTATGAAAAGTTACTTGGTTTTTATTTATTTAATTTTTATCAGTACCAAGAAAGATTTTATTAATTAGAAGAGAAAAGATTGGGCAGCCTCGGCTACCCCATTACAATACTTGGTTTTTATTTAATGAAACAAATTTTGTTATTAAAGTTCTAAAAGTAACAAGCTAAACAAAAAATGGCTCTGTTCTTACTCGCTGTTGGATGTAGACCCCAATATCTCCAAGTACCACATTTCCAGATGCATCTGTTGCATTTGACTTCTCTAGCAAGTCCTGCATTTTAAAACTCAGCATGCTGTAAATACAACTGACAAGAGATTCAGTTCAAGGATGCAATTCAAACAAGCAAGTGCTATTATCTTCTTTTCATGTTGAGCAACAAATTCTTGGGTGAGATTGTATCCGTAAACATAAATACATAAATCCTTTGCCTTAGCTATCTCATTTTTATAAATTTAAATCCAACTTGAGTTGTTAAATTGTCGATACAATCATAGAACGCATGCTGACATACAATGCTAAAAGCTGTTCCACACTTGAATGGTGTATAATTGAATATAGAAGTGTGGGAAACAAAATAGAGCAGTAAATAAGTTATTAGGATGAAATGTACAATGGCTGGAAGTCCAATACTGAGGATTGGTGTGCGGGTGTAACTAGTCTCCAATGGCCTTTATAAAGAAAATGAAAAAAAAATGCAAATGCCTATTTTGGGGAAATATTTAGTGTAATTCTGTTTCTGGCACCTTTTCCATGCCTTTTTTCTTACTGTCTGTAACCAAGATATTTACCTATTGAATTTGAAGATTTGTATGAGGAAATTGATAAAAATCAGATAATTACAACTTTACGAGCATATGTAATGAAAGATAGAATTATGGAGACATGCATTAGAACCAAGAGATTCTAAGTACAGAAAAGGAATATTACGCAATGTAGTTACAAACTGGCTGAAGGGCACTCAGGAGGGCTCTTGGTATTACAAACCTATTATATGGGAAATAAGAAGCATTTAAGGAAACTTAACACCAGCATTATTTGGGTTCCTAGGGAGGCTAACAGCCTAGCTGATGGGTTGGCAAAACAGAAAGCTACAAGAGAAATTTGTTCTGGGGTGTGTTATTGTAATGGGTTTCTTTGATGTGCCTTGAGATGGTGGCTAGCAGAGGCTACCCACCCATGTAATGTGTTACACTCTTCATGATATAAATAAAATCTTTGCTTTGTTAGTGATAAAAAAATATTATGTAATGTCAGTTCTACCAGAAAAACAATTTGACGTGCAACATCAGAGAATGTTGGCCATATAATTAAAGTTAGATGGATGAAATACAGTGGCATGTCTGGAGTCGTTTGATCAGAGAATTCCATCAAATTGAGAGGAAATTTTTCATAAAACAACTATTACAAGCAATAAAGTGTTGAGCAATCAAGAAGCAAATGTTCCAAGAAAAAAAAGATTGAGCAAAGAAGAGGATATTAAGATGGACAGGGGGGACTAGAAAGCATAGAATTAGAAACGAGTACATTCATCAAAACCTAAAAGGAGCCCTAGTAAGTGACAAAAAAAAAGGAAATTAGTTAATAGACAGAGATGATTTGAACATGTGCATCGAAAATCTCTTATTGAGTGAAATATAATTTACTATTTTTCAAAAAAAAAAAAAAGCTGAGGGATTGCATAAGAGTTGGAGGTTGTATCGAGAAAAGATTAGAACATAAAAAATCCAACAAACATTTTGGCCTTGATATAATGGATTCAATGGAACAGTCAAATAGGATTCAGATGAGGCTTTATTGAGTTCTCTTGAAAAATCATTCTTAATGAGTTTTGCATTTTTTTTTTCATTCACTTAACGTTTTGTTGATTTGTCTTGATAGAATGGTATATAATATTTGGTCCACATTTGCTAGCAAGCCTAGTGAAAGTATGCAGAATTCACTTACGTGTCCTGCCCCTTAGTTCTCTTGAAAAATCTTTCTTAATGAGTTTTGCAATTTTTTCATTCATTTAATGTTTTGTTGACTTGTCTTGATAGAATGGCATATAATATTTGGTCTGCATCTGCTGCTAACAAATCCTGTGAAAGTATGCAGAATTCACTTACTTGTCCTGCTCCTTCAGCCACACAAACCACTGCAGACCCTTTAGTTTGTATCAGATGCTCTAAATGTCGCAATACACCATAAGGTCCATCTAAATTAAATGGTATCTGCAATTGGATTGTAAAAAAAAAGTAGTCATGTAATAATAGTTGTGGGTGTGAATGTGTGTTTTTGAGAGAGAGAGAGAGAGAGAGTACATATTACAAATGATAACACACCTCAGGAATCAAACAAACATCGATCTGCCCACTAGAAAGTGATGCGTGCATGGCTATAAAACCACTGCTTCTTCCCATCAATTTTACCAGGCCAATGCCATGATATGCACTATGTGCCTGAAAGTATCATAGAGAAATCAACTGAACATGTCTAAAGCACGATGCAAGATATACACAAATATAATCTTCTTCAGCCCACAATCCATAAAAATCCTGATGAGCTAGATATTAGACAAATGAACTGCCATTGCTTACCTCAATATATGCAGAATTTATTGCCCGTTGAGCTTCTTCTACTGCAGTATCAAATCCAAATGTCTTATCCATAAGAAGTATATCATTATCAATTGTTTTTGGGACACAAACAACAGATACTTTCATCTTTCTCTTGCGGCACTGTGCAAAGAAAGCAACAAAGTCATTCAAGGATATTGCACAACCATAGTACATGTTTTTATATTGATGCAAGTTTATACTTTATACATAAGAATCATGACTCATGAGGAAGAATGCAGGATAACAAATATCTTGTGTTGGTAGAAGCAGATAAATGGATTCATGAGTAATCTTATTCATTAATAAAGATTATTGTTATTGATCAAAAGAAAAAAACAAAAGATCAACATTCTCATGGTACCTCAAAGTGGAATACATACTAAATTGCTAATAGATCTAAAGGTACTGACCAAAAGCTTCAAGAAATATCTTATTAAGGACGTACCAAAGGCTGCCATATGACAGCAGGGAAGCATTCTGAATTATTAGGAAAAAAATAACAGTAACTTTCAATCCATACAACTTGGACATGAGCAAGTATTAGGCATGCCATCTAAGAATCCTAATTATGCTGACAAGTCTTATTGCAGATGATAATATTGAAGACATTTATGACATTTCATGAATCCCAATATGGACAAGAAAAGAGAAAAAAATTATGATAGTAGCACATTATTGGAAAATTTTTATTCTATCCAGTGGCTGGTTTTGTATCCAGTAAGTATTATGTCTTGACACCAGTTCGCTTGGCATGTGCAAATATCCAGGAAACATAGCACACAACAATATTAATCCAAAAAGAATTCTCATGTAAATTATACTACTAAAAATAACATTATTCATATAAGATGACACTACTTTTTTCTGAGAATAGCAAAAGAAACAGATTAAGGTACCTCATTGTGTATTGCATTTGCTCCTGCATGAGTTCCATTCCCACCAAGTATGAAAAGCATGTCAATTCCTCTGGTCTAAAAATAATCAGTTAGTGCATGTTAATGACAAAGAATCAGTTAGCCTACTTAGCTACCAGCACAATAGTGTGGGAAATGTACCAAGAGAAAATAATAGTAATAGCTGGCCAAATAAAATCCTCTAACTAGAAAATATGGTTTATCATATTTTACCTGTATGCTATCCACAATATCACAGACATTAGCACCCCCACGAGATACTCCCAATAAACTTCCACCAGCTAGATTAATGTTTTGAACTACTTGGCGGGAAATCTGAAAAATCAAAATGACAACCTTAAGTTCATGAACAGAAATAGTGGAATAAACAGCATGATGTCATGTGAAGCAGTCAAGGAAACTCTCACCGGTATTTCAGGTAAGCCCTGATCAAAAAATCCACGATAACCAAATGGGATCCCTACTATCCTCTTAACGCCATACAATTCAAGAGTAAAAACTATCTGCACCATCATAAAGGTATGAGAAGCTCATTTCCCCACAGTTCAGCATATTTCAAGAATAGAAATAGAAAATCTATGGATTAGAATATTTTGCAAGTATGACTGATATATCAAAGCTCATGTATAATAATTCCATAACTTCATAATAGATAATGTAGCAAGAGGTGAAAACAGGGGACTGATGACACACAGGTATGGAGTCCTATAACTTTTAGACCTGGTGGTGGACTTTTTGTTTGCATCAGGAAGAATCTTGAAAGGAATCAAACCTAAACATCCATTTTTAAACACCGTATCTTGGAATGTATCTCATGTGAAATAGGTCAGGATGATACCAGTGAGTTGGTTATATCTTTGGATTTAGTAAAAGTATATGGATTTCCTTTCTCTCAAAAATAGATTATACTGTTTTTACATATCCAGAAAGAATATAGTAAAAATATATGATTGCAAACATTTGATCATGATATTTTTATCTATGTACAGCTAGACTCATTAAATGATGGGTCCTGACCCTCGATGTTTCAGTATTACATGTATATGAAGTTATGAACTACTTAAGGATGGGCATTTAGACTCTGGCACTCCAAATTACTGCAAGATCTCAATGAACAAGCAATCATGTGATCGCAAAAATATACTGTACTCCTAATAAAAACTATGATAACTTTCCCAATCACATAAGCTTTTGATAAAAACTGGTAATGCCTCAGGGTTATATTTTTGGGGAAACTCGATCCAGAAAAAATAGATGAAGATGATCTAAAGCCAAAGCCATTTTTGTTCTTTGCTTATGCACATATTATTTAATTAACTAACAGTGAAAGACTCCATGAATATTTTCAGATATGATCAAACTCTTTCAACAGACATTTATGCATTCTCTGTAGCCTGTATCTGACACAAAATTTAATGTACTAGTAGCATACAATTTTACTGGGAAAAAGTACATGGTCAACTAAGCCATGCTTGCTAACCTGTCTAATAACATCATTAAGACCAGGACAGAGCCCTCCACAAGTGACAAGTCCAGCCTTTACTTTCTCAGGATCAAAGTATATCTGCTTTCGTGGTCCAGCACGATGAACCCTAAGTAAGATGAGAATCATAAATCAACAGCATATCTATGCACATAATTCTGCAGAATAACGAATGACATCTAATAACTCAGTTCAGAACGAAAGAAGGTGCACTGTGTTGCAGATGATTTTCTAAATAAATCAACCAAAAAATTAAAAAAAAAAAAACTAAGTTATATAGCCTAGAAAATCATTAATAAACTTCAAAAGCCTCCAAAGATCAGAATTATAGTTCTAGAACAGAAAAAGACTAGTTCACTGACTAGTGATTACTATAAAGTGCACACACATGAAAAATAACAGACTAATAACATGATTTACAGAAACTGAAAAAACAAATGTTTGAATAGAGAGACACAAAATTGGGAGGGATCATTAAGACAAAAAAAGAAAAGACCTGGGGGGATAAGACAAATAAAACATGACAAATAAGACATATTCTTTTCCCTACTTGTCTGAGCATGACCGAGACTAGATGGGCCTCTTACAAAATGAGGAAACATAATAAATCAGGAAAAAGTGCAACAAGAACAGGTAAAGAAAGATTATGCTATCCAATTACACATCTAGGATATCTATCCAATTTGAACTCAGCTAATCAGATTCCAAACTGGATTAGGACATCACAAATTCTTAACAAATAAACTGAAAAGACTTTCATAAATCTCTGTCTTGCAACTTTACAGAAGATGCAGTTCTTGAATCAGTTCTACGAACAAATATGTAAAATACATTCAGATATCTTTATGGTAAGATTATCAGATCTGGTTTCTATCAGATAAATTTGAGTGCATCTGGACCCAAATCCATTAATCAAACAGATGTATTATTGATATCCATATCCGGCTAAGCAGATCCAGGCCATGATCTGATTCGCAGAAAGACCAAAGCAAAGTGTCTGTTTTGATGAAAAAGAAAAAAGCAAGGAAGCCCTCATAGAACTTGTATATGTTAGGGTGGCCCACTGGGTCAAGTCTTTGAAGCTTTTTGAAGCCTATTCAGTAGGAGACATCATTAGAAACTGGGAAGAAGTGGCTCGGTCAGCTCCTATGTCTAGAGGTATCAGACCTGTTTGGACTCCACCAGACTTGGGTTTCATCAAATTGAATTTTGATGGTAGTAGTGAAGGAATTCCAGGCCCTTCAGGCATAGGTGGTATTTTCAGGAACGAAGAAGGTTGAATTATTGCTATGTTCTCAGGACCTATAGGCTGGGGAGATTCTCTGAGAGCTGAAATCCTGGCAGTTCTAGAAGGAGTTAAAAGGGCTAAGCAGTTGAATATTAGCAAGCTGCTGGTGGAAGGAGATTCCCAACTGACTGTTAGATGGTTGCAGATGGAAGAGTCCAGCCTGTGGAAGTTCTCAAATGAAAGAAAGAAAATCAAGCAACTAACTCAGAACATGATTATAAGGGTTCAATGGGCTAAGAGGAGCACCAACTCCGTGGCTCACTCCTTGGCTAAACAGGGGGTGGGAAGATCTAATTTATTTTGGGATATCCTGTAATATGTGTTTTCAGGATTGAAAGGGAGGGTTAAGACTTTTTACCCCTCCATTCTGGTTGTATCTTACATATCTATTTTAGTAAAAGTGCTGTTATTGATAAAAAAAAAAGTGTCTGTTTTGATTCCATAATCTGCTTACTAAATTAATCTTAATCAAGTTAGCATCTAACAAACCAACAGTATATTTGGAAAGCTCATCCTTTATACAACGGCCTGAGTTCCAAATAAGTCTTTGACAGTAATTGCTACTAATCATATTACTTGCATGACCACCCAAAGAAAAAGAAATAAGAAAAAAAAAAGAAAAAGAAGAATTGAAGAAAAAACTATAATATTACCATTGCTCTACCCAACTGCAATCAGGATCTATGCACTCTGCTCCAGCAGAAGTTGGTGAAGAATATTTGATAACCTAATGAAGTAAAATACTAATTATAATGCATCAAATCTCTATACAGGAAGATACTTGTTAGGCAAACAGAAAAAAGAAAGAAAAGGAGAAGAAAAGATATGGTAGAGTTGACTCATTGTAGTGAAAGAAACTTCATAAGCTCAGCTCAGTTTCATGGAATAACACAAGTTCTGATTATAGTGCATCAAATATATATACAAGTTCTGATTTTGTAAATAATAATATGGAATAACACACCTTTAATGGCTCCCTACTTAATATTTGGTCATAACATTGGCCTTACAGAAATTAGAAGCTAAAAAATATACAAGTTCTGATTTTGTAAATTAATAATATGGAATGACACACCTTTAATAGTGCCCTATCATCATCATTCACATATCCACTTTTCCTATCTTCAGGTGCATCAATATTGCTCAATATTTGAGAGCCTCTGTCACAACCAAACATGGGAGAAATTATTTAATGGTAAAAACATGAATTAGGATGAACTAAATACAGGTAAACAGTTACAAAGAACAATTCAAAACAGTGTTTTATGATGCACATATATGGCATGAGTTAGTGTCAAGAAGTAAACCTGGGCATAGTTGAGGTAAGAAAATAGGGACAACTAAATATTTCAAAAAAGCATGTGGGAAATTATCAATGTGCATGCATCAAGTGAAAAATAAATTAAACAGAGATAGAGGAAAAGGTTATATAAATCTAATATTTTTTGGCCTTTGCTCATTTTTGTACCAAATACAAACCCACACACACACACATGCAGACAAGTACCCGTTGTGGAGAGAGAATGTAGTTGGCCTTGGCTTTATGTCAAAAACATCTCTTAGATGCGGCAGATTGAATCGATTCTCAAAATCTTCTTGGAAATGCTTTTTCCAATCAGGATCACTAAAATCAATTTCTGGTGCAATGGCAGCTTTGACAACCACAGAGGAACATTTCTTTCTTGGAAACCATCCAGATCTCCTTAATATTAAAAGTTTGGAACTAAATGAAGAATGGTCAGCTATTGAATGGAAACCGTTCTGCTCTGGACAGGCAAGGCCAATATTTTTGATTGAAGAAACAAAGGCCATCTGTTAAATGGCTAACTTAGTACTCTACTAAGATGGGATTATCAGCAAAAAGTTCCTGCAGTAATGACAGATGTTAATAAAACAATAAAAAAATCGATAAGCAGTTATACGCTAGAAGAGTCCAGAAAGGAAATAACTCATGTAAATCCCAAGAAATTTGTCAAATACTGTAACAGCACTCTTCGTTTCTGATACATTTCCACTGATTTTAAGCTAAAATCAACCACAAACCTTATAACAAGGAATTTCATGTTTAATCTCGACACTCACAGTAAGAAACATTCAAGCTCAATACCTCCCTCCCTCCCTCTCTCCCATACATCTATACTCCCCCCCAAAAAAAATCAGCTTCGATATAAAGAGATGGAAGCAAAAATACAAACAAAACTAGAAACTTCGAAGGTAAAGCTTCTATCACAGGTAGGGAGAAGTGCATTGAATAAATCAGTGGCACAAGATAATCAGAGGTGGAATCAATTGTTGACAGTAGATGAGTTGAGGTTACAGTCAGGGGATTGGGACATTCAAAAACTTCAAAGGTTGTTTAGCAGTCAAACTATAGACCACATTAAGGAAGTGCCTCTGAACCAAAATGATCAGGGGGATAAGATGTTGTGGAAAAGGACCCATAATGGAGTTTACACAATGAAGTCTGGGTATCAAACCTTCATAAACATGCAGCCTAATTCTTCTAGTGCCAACATAAAATAGACAAGGATATGGAATGTCAAGGTTCCATATAGATTTCAAAGTATTTATGTGGAAACTGTATTTGGGAGGCGTATTAACAAAAGACAAAATTAGGCAAATAATTAAGGAGGAGGAGAGGTTGTGCATATTGTACAAAACACAGGAAGAAACAAGGCATCACCTTTTTTTCACTGCCCTTACGCAAGAGCAGTATGGTGTCAGGCACAAACGGGGATAAATCCTGAAACAATCTCAGACAAGTCCATTCATACGATAGTTGAGGAATGGTGGAACAGCATGATACATCTTCAAAAAATAGAGAAGCTTCAAGATCCTGGAAAAATCTGCATCATTTTGAGATTAATATGGGATAATAGGAACAGGTGCTTGTTTGAAAATAAAAGAATAACGTCAGAAGAATTGATTGCACAAGCACATTCCTATCAAATTCAGATAGAGACATCAATTTCTGTTTTGAAATCTCATATTGAAAGGCAGCAAGAGGAGCATAGGAATGCTTCGGGGTATTTCAAAGTTTTCACAGATGGATCCTACAGTGAAGCCACAGGTAAAACTGTGGATGTATGCTCCAAATGGTAACATGGTATATGCTGCCGCAGACAAATGTGTTGCTGCAAAACAGTAAGCAAGCATAACTGAAGGCAATGATGGAGTCTCTGAAGACTTAGAAGTTTGGGACATAAAAGATTGGTTCTTTTTGCTGATGCGCAAAGTCTGATACTGAAGATCACGGGAATGGAGACACAACAGAACTGGGTAGATCAGATATAATAAGGACAACCTACAGTACATAATTTAGTTAATGATAATGGAAGACATTCAGTTCATATATGTAAATAGGGAACTTAATTTGACAGCTCACAGTTTAGCTTGGAAAACGTGTTATGATAAAAAACAAATAGTATGTAACAATGAACAAGTGTTGTATTCGCTTGTTCATCCCAGTTAATATGATTCGTAGTTTTTTCTTGAAAAGAGAGAGAGAGAGAGAGAGAGAGAGAATTTAAGGCACCAAGAACTCCAACCATGAATGTTGAAACAGATCATTTTCTTATACTTGAGTTTCGGAGATCTGGTCAAGACCGTCCTCATCATTCCACCTAATTGGAATGATTACTCCTCATCATTCCACCTAATTGGAATGATTACTACTAACCTATATGAATAAATTAGTAAATAAATAAAAAAGCATTTGAACACAGAATGAGACAACTTACCTAAGGTCTGTCGCGAATCCTGGTGGATCAGAATACTAGAAACCCCGAGCAGTTCGAACTGGCGAGCTTCGTTTTGCTTTCACGTTTCTCGGCCAGTCGGCCTGTTTGTTCCCGGCTGGTTTTTTAAGACAAGACCATGCGGTATTGCCGTATTGGGGAGGAAGTAGAAATCAATGGTAACTCCAAAATCTCCCTGAACTAATGTGGTCTTGTCACTTTACCACCCGAAACTATGAAAAATTGCGGATATCCCCCGACGGAAGATACTCACTTGCACCTCACGTGATATACTATAAAACATGGCTTTTTTTTTTCATTGCTGAACTGGATTTAAATTAGTGGCAAAATTATATTGCATAGAATATATGATATGTTCGACAGTAGAAAGCAAGTATAGATTTCTACCTTTTGTTCCGTGAGGTTGAGAACAAAACCCTACTCTATCGTCAGTAGGGCTTATATGGTCATTTTCCTCTAAAATGTGAATGTTTGGGGGTTATTTGAAACTTTTCATAATTCAAGAAGTAAACTAATACCTCCCATAGGTTCAATGGAGTTTTAGAAATTTACCCTAAAGTCAAATTGGACTTGCAATCGCTTATTTACTTCTTTTGTTTGGTCTTTAGTTTGACTGTTCAATGTCGCTATGGTGACTTTTCTAAAGCAGCCGATCCCTCTCTCTCTCTTCACTTTCTCGTCGCAGGGCTGAAAATAAGTGATCAATTATTAGAATCCAAATTCGATTAAGAGTTGGATTCGAATACCTTTCCTTTCCTGATCTTAACAAATTGAATCCGATCGAGTTAGCGGATCGAATTTGGATATATCCCTCTCCGATCCGCCATGACCCAATATTATTTTTATATTATATTATATATATAATCAAGCTTTTATTATAATTCTAATTGAATCAGATATCCAATATTCAAATTCGATTCAAATCATACTCTTTAAAATCCAACCGATTCTTATCAGATTTGAATCGATCAGATTTGTTATCGGATCAGGTATATTCTTTACTGAACCTGATCCGATTCATTTGCAGTCCTACTTTTTCATGAATTTGGGAGAGTGTTAGAGTTAGGTTCGGGTTGGGTCAAGTTGCACGAGGGGTCAATCACAGTGACCCAATCTAACTTTTTGGGTTGGGTGGATTCGGCGCTAATTGCCCTGCCCAAGTTGTACACCTAATTACATCATATTTCCAGTTTCTCCGTTCTCATGGAATTTTTTTAATATATTACACTAAGACTGTTGTTACGAATTCGGATCTGCTCCTCACATAGGGCACCTCACACCGATCTTACAGGCACATCTCATCATGTATTAGGAATATTTCCCATGAATAATAGCGTATATGTATGAGAAATGTTTCTAATACATGGTGGGGTGTGCTAATAAGGTCGGTGTAAGGCACCCTGTGTGAGGAGCATATCCGGTCTCATCATTGCATTGGATAGAACCAAACCCACCTAATTATACAGGGCCCGCTCTCTATTATGTGTCGGGATTATACTTGGTATGTATTATGTTTCCTTCAAATTATGTTTGGTTTCATAGAAACTAAATACTTGAAGGAAATTCTTAAAGATGTTTGTGAAATTGCATTCTGTTTCTTTATCTTTTATCAAATAAAACAGCAGTGTTTTAAAATCGATTTGAAAGCCAAACCGTTTTTGCCTCCAAATTATGTGTCACTAATTCGATCGTTCGGGTCGAACGGATCAAACCATGCTACATTAGCCATATGAAATTCAAACATGGATTTAGATAGATAGATATATATAAACATATGTATGTATGTGTGTGTATATAGATATGTATAAACATGTATTTATCAATAAGTAATGTATAATTATGTTTTATATATAATATATGTATTATTTTATATTTAACTTATGTTTTTAATTCAGTTTTAAATAGGGGTATTCATGGTTCAGTTAGGCCTTTTTTGTAACCGAACTAGTACTACTGGTTTTTGGAAAACCAATAACCAAAACTGAACCGAATCCAATCAATTAAATGGTTGACCGGTTCAGTTCGTCGGTTTTTGGTTTTTTAACTTTTACGATATATATTAATAAAAATATATATAAATATATAAAATTATATTTTAAATAATAAATAATATAGCATATATTATAAATATATATTTATATACAATGCATATTTATTAATTTATAATATATAAAAATATATATAATATATATAATATACATAAATATATATAAAAATATATGTATACCAATCAGTTCGATTAACCGTCGGTTTTCTATATTGGTTAATTGAAACCAAACCAACCGGTTCGGTTAACTGATTTTTTAGTTCAGTTTTTCTAGCCGGTTCAGTTCAATTTTTTTGCTCACCCTTAGTTTTAAATTATTTATTTGTAAAAAATATTAAAAATTGCAATTTGAGGACAAAAAAGATTTTTTTTGCAAAAATAGCAAGAAAAGGCACATATCACACCTTAGGACACATAAATCTCAAAAGTTCAAAAAAAATCACCTAATCAAACATCAGAATGCAAAGTTATGGCCTCCCGAAATTTGCATACACATTTAGTGTGCAACCCATAACCCAGTCACTGGGTTGAATAAATCAACAGTCCAACTGTTAGGGTTGAACAATCTTCGACCAAGTCAATAATTTTTTACCTCACTCTAGGTTTTATTTAAACCAGACCCAAAATCCTAATTAAGTAATAGTTCAAACAATTCAACCAGTAAGATCAATAGTGGGTTAAAACAATGCAAAACACTGCCTAAAAAATATAAGCATGTATTTAATATGAGAAAAACAAACTAAAATTAAATTGATTAAACCTAAAAGCAATGTTTTAAAAACTAACCAAGAGGCTGAACCGCTTTTGCCTCTGGGTTGCAGGTCACCATTTGACTGGTCAGTGGTCAGGTCGAACGGTTCAAACCATGACATGTCATCTATATATATATAACCTAATTAAATTCTAAAAGGTGCAAAGAGTTGCATTTAAGACTTAGGCGGTCTAGAGGAAAAGATAGCACTTGCAAGGGACCATCGTTGCATTTTCAGGATCGGCCTACAAATTGGTTGTTCAAATACGAAATATGGCAATATTCAAAACATGTTAACCAAATCAAAATACGTTAACCAATCAAAATCCATATAAGCTTAAACAAAAATACCCTTTTATTGGTGATGATTTTGTTAGTTACCGTATCTTTTCAATAGCATAGCAAGACTTTAAAGGTTATATTTGGTTTGAAGGAAAAGGTAAGGAAAGGAAGAGAAAGGTAGGCAAATTTAAACAAAGTTTGTAATGGTTTTATTACCTTTTCCTTCCTTTCCCTACTTTATTCCTTTAAACCAAATACAGCCTAAGAAATAAAGTGTATTTTGAGAATTGAATATATCATGATCTCTATGGTTCCCAATCAGAATCAGAATTGGAATTAAAATCTCTTGGAATCGCAATAAGAATGGACTATCCCATAACTTGTTTAGTTCAAATAAGAATTGGAATCAAAATTAGATTCAGTTGAATTGGAATTTTATTCCCAAGGGATTGGCCATTCCCTCCGGGGGGATGCCATTCCATCACAAGTGAAAATGGGATTTTGAATTTAGAATCCATCCACCCAACCAATCGGATGGAATTAGAATAAGTTATTTTGATTCTAATTCAAGACTCCTATTGGCCTATTCCCACGAAACAAACGACCCAGTGACTTTCCCTAAAATAAACACCCAATGTTCTTGCATTAAAAAGGCTTAATATCACTCCGGATCTGCTGGTTACTCACCTACTCACCTTTGAGTGTGTAAGTTCAAATGCCATAAAAAATAAAATACGTGGTCTGTGTTGGTGTATTCCTATTGGGAGTCCAGCAATAGATCCCACTAATAAATAGCAAGCAAATTCCAACGCACTTTAGCATACATCATGTCTAGGTGGGTATTTGTTTGCATTGAATGGATGCCTGAAATCTGAAAAGATGACTTTTAAGATGTTTCAGATCGTTTGATGCAACCTTAAAGCCTCTTATTTGACTATTAACCCGTTCAGATGTGTTATATGAAAATTTTGTTCCAAAAAACTAATACGATTTTTTTTTGTAAGAGAAAAACCAATACGATTGAAACACCCACATTTTGAGGTTTTGTATTCTTTAAAATCCCCAAGGCTATGTTTACATTGTATTGATGTAAACTCATGGCAGCGCAAATGATTTGAGTGTAAATTCTGACCTAATTTTGTTTCAAAATTTAGCTTATTTTGTTTAATTGCAGTAAAAATGAAGTAAATTAAGACATGAAGCAGGATAAAGTAAAATTCAAAACAAAATTAACTAAGACTTTGCATTTTTTACATTTGCACCCCCATGCATTTGTACTAGTACTAGTGCAAACAAATTTGCACTGCAACCAAACGCAACCTAAGGCTTAGTTTGGAAGGAGTACAGATTAAATACATATGTACGGTACAAATGCATAAAAAATAATAGAATTTACAAAGTTTTACACTTTACATATCTATCTGTACTCCCTCCACACTGAGGCTCCATTTGGGCAGAGTGCAAATGTCGGTTCACTACATATTTGCATTCAAAATGAGAGCAAAGTTTGCATCCAAAAAATAGATGCAAGCTTTGCACTCAAAGTTGATTAATGTTAAAAAGGTACATTTCAATCATAGGATTCATGCTTGTACCTATCACAATTAAAAATCATTAGGAAAGAGTACAAATTTATCATTATAAAACTAAACCAAATTTGCATTTTTGTATTTACACTCTTTCCAAACAGAGTCTAAAAGCTGTCTCAAAGTTGAGTACAAGCCGGGCTTTGTTCACAGGCCAGGTTTGTATTTTCAATGCAAAACTTTGTATAGGCATTTCTAAACCTTGTATTTGCAATTTATATATTTGAATTTGCACTCTTTCAAAACCAAGCCTAAATATCTCCTATTCACAAATGTGTTCCCATATATCTCTCATTCACCATGTTTTAAGCAATTTTTCTAGAGATCGAGATTTAGATATAGATAATTCATCTAGTTTGTTGAAAATTTCTCCTGCCTCTTTGTCTGGAGGATTTAGAAGTATAGTATTTTATTAATCTCTTATCAAGGTATGGTTTGACAAATTTTGAGTTTGTCCTCCCATCATATTGCTAGTAGGGAT